TATACCCAATTCTACGACATTGAAAAGATTTAACGGATTCGAACTAAACCCTTACCTCCTAGTTCGCAGTTGGTGCACGAAAGAGATTGGAAATTGGATTTTTTTGTGAAATCTTCGTAGTGATTTTCGTAGTTGGTTATCTCTAGTTGTCCTGGTTTTTTAGTGAATTTGAGTTCAATTTTGTCTTATAAAATGGTCGTGGGTGGAGTTATGAAGAGGAAGAGTCGTTTCCGGGTCGTGGGCGATTTTTATCTGCTTTATGCAGAATGGGTAAACTTTTGGATCGGATTTTAACTGGTTGAATCGTAAATAAGTTGAGTTTTGTTTGGTTATTTTGTCTTTTCATATAGTTTCTCATAAAAAAAAAAAATTATTTTATTTGAAGGTGATTTGTAATTTGAACTTAAAGAAAGGGTTATAACAAATTTTGATCCACTCTTCGGAGAAAGACTGTAAAAGAAAGCAGAAAAGAGATTGAGGAGAAGCGAAAAGGGCCTCAGTGGGAAACGGCAAAGTTGGAGATGGTATCATTGTCATTATCTCATCATAATCTCTGGCCGCCGGAATCTGGATCTAAGGCGTTTCGAGGTTTCGTAACCGCCGCGTCCGTACACGCCTGCCACCATGTTCGCCGCCACCTCCGCCTTGGCTTCCATCTTCGCTCTTCCCTGGAGGTGAGGTTCAGCTACGCTTTTTCTCCCAAATTTGGGGACTTGTTATTTTATAATTTCTGGTGGTGATACGAGTCTTAAATTTCGTTGTCTGGTGCTTTGTGGTTTTTTTTCCTCTTGCAATTGTTAGCGTAAATGTTTAAACTGAATTCGAGTAGACGATGAAGCGACGATCACAGTCCTCGTGATTGGACACAAGAGCTTTAAATCGATTTCCAAAAGGAAAGAACAAAAATTATGCCTTACTCTCCTGAGTCAAATGATTATATGGAGTTTCCATTGTCTGTTTTACTAGAGGATGCTGTTTTTCTTGACATTGTTCAAAACAGCACAAGCTTTCAAGGTTCTTCTCTTTTTTTTTTTGACTATGGTTCTTTACCACAGAGACTGCGGCAATTTTCTGATGCTGCACGAATGGACTTGTCAAGATATCATCAAAGAGCCATTCTATCCAATGGGGCTAAATTTCTACAGACTAGGGTTGATATCCAATCGTCCCCATCTTTGTCTTTCATATGTTTCTTTAACGGAGGAGAGAGTAGGATAGACCCTAGAGGAGGGGATGAAGGATCATCATCAAACCAGGAGATCTCCAAGAGAAATACACGTAGTGGACGGAGATGGACCAATGTCCTCCTTGCCATTAACGTAATGTATGTGTTTGATAAGTTGCATTAGACTAGAGGATTGCTTTAATCAAGCTTGAAAATTGTGAGCTAAAAGGCTTATGGGTTTCATCTTTTGTAAATGGTTCCAGAATGTATGTTGCACAAGTTGCATCCAATGGGAAAGTGCTGACATGGGGAGCCAAGGTACCCCTATACAGAGAATAAGTCAAGTGTGATACGATTTTGTTTCTTGCTGCAAGTTAATATTTGGACAAATGCAGGTAAACAGCTTAATCGATAAAGGCCAGCTATGGAGGCTGGCTACGGCTTGTGTTCTTCATGCGAATCCGATGCATCTCATGGTAACCAACCATTCAGCCTTGTAGTTTCTAATCAATGCTGCTTACGTTTTTTTGTTGTCTGTATGGCTAAACTGTTTCCCCCTTTGTTTTTAGATAAATTGCTATTCTTTGAATTCTATTGGACCAACTGCTGAGAGTTTAGTTGGCCCAAAGAGATTTCTTGCCGTTTACTTGACATCCGCAATTGCAAGTAATTAATGGTTCATAGACTTTCTTCGATGTGGATGATTCATTATATTTCTCTTTTTTCGCGTTTCCTGACTCACAGAATCCATCTTAAGAGTTCTAGGTTCAGCGATGAGCTACTGGTTGAACAAAGCGCCATCAGTTGGTGCTTCGGGTGCAATTTTCGGATTGGTAAGTCCTGTAGAACCAGAAGCCTTTGTTTCAGACTCGTCTCATACAAATGAAGTTTCTTAAATGATATCCCTTTTCCTTTTGATAGGTTGGATCGGTTGCTGTGTATGTCATAAGACACAAACGGTGGGTAAGAGGTGGCAATGAAAATCTAATGCAGATAGCTCAAGTTATCGCCCTAAATATGGTAAGTAATACCTCAGGAAAAAAGAAATTGCATTAGAAGAAATTGGGAATTTTGTTGAATATCTAACAAGGTCTACTATGCAGGCATTGGGTCTAGCGTCCAGAGGCATAGATAACTGGGGACATGTAAGTTACCCAATCATGGCAGGCTTCAAACGAATTAACCAGTCTGCTTTTTGTTGGATCAATAGTGGACTGATAACATCTCTGGTCAGTACAGATTGGTGGATTGCTTGGTGGAACTTCAATGGCGTGGCTTGTAGGACCACACTGGAAGTATGAGTCAACAACAAGAGATGGTCGGAGAGTCTTCATGGACAACGCTCCCATTCCGCTCCTTCTGCGGTGGAGAAACGGAACAGGGACAGCTTTGATTCAAGATAAACGAAGCTGAACACACACA